AATAATGATCCCAATAAACATTTGAGTTTCAGAGGAGCAGCATCTTTTTGAAATGGAAAAGCTTCATATACATTGCTTATTTCCCATAATATTTCTTTTGTTCATTTACATGAACATTAGAATGCTGACAGACCAGATTTGTTCCTTCTTAAAACAAAAATGTTCTTGTTAGCTGGCTTAATCTTGCAGCAAGTCAACAAGGATTTTTTTTGTGAACAGTTGCTTATTAGTTTTGTGTCAGTTACCTGATGATGAGACATTCATACATCTTGCTCTAGCAAAAGAAAGAAGAGGGTTTTTATCCCAGGCTGCCTTGGAATGTAGAAGTCATTTTCACCCACATGTCTGTCCCTTCCTACTATTCCTAGGCAAGAAGTTTAGTTCCTGAGGTTTATTGTAAAGGGAAGAAAGCCAAAGTATTATACAAAATCCTAAGTTGCTTCCCGAAATGTTTGATGCAACTCTAATGCTAACCAGTTAAAACAACTTGATGGCTCAGACAAAGGCCATTCAGAGTTTGCCTCTATATAAAACTTTAGTATTACTATCTATCTTCAATTATATAGCAACTATAGCTGCAGCCTTGTTTCTAGTAGATGTCTTGGGGTAAAATTTTCAAAAGCACCTACGTTACTTAGGTTCCTAAATCTCATTAGAAGTCAACAGGACTTAGACTCCAAAGTATGCTAGTCATTTTTGAAAATGGGACTTAGGTTCCTAAGGCACTTTTGTGTGTTTGAAAATTTTACCCCTGATGCATATAATATTTTATAAGGTTAACATGCTGCATAATCAGTTCCTTTATTTCATAACTCTTCTATAATGTGAGCACCCCAAACACTGTCTTTAAATAATAACTAAGTGAAATGAAATTCAAACAACATGATGGAACTGTGGAAGCTGTGTCAAGGACTCCACCAAACTGAACCCACCAGAACAAAACTCTGCAGGAGTGTAGATACAATCATTCAATTTGCTAACTCTTTAGAATTGTGTGACTTAAATAGATTTAAAATATAAAAAAAGTTTGTGAAATAACCCCATATATAATATTATAACTGTATGTTGACTCTGTTCATTTAGCTCTTTTTCCATTTAACAGCTGCCCACCTGCATAGTGTTAAAGTGAAATATGACTAAAGAGCAGCTTTTGCATTTTTAATCCTTTTTTACAACTATGTTTTTTAAATGTAAATATGCATATCAGTTGTGGAGACAGCTGCATGGTGCAGCCTCAAAACTATCTTTTACTTCGAAGTCTTCTCTATTTCTTTGCCACATCCAAATTAAAAAAAAAAAATCCACTAACCAGCAAAACAGAGATTGAATACTTCTTGAAATTCAGCTCAGTGCCTGCCCCAAAAAATATTTCACAGATTAATCTTGATTATTTTGAGTGAATTACCTATGGAACATCATGTTAGAAAATATTACTTCATTATGTAGAATCTCATTGCCAATCTAATATCCAAGGATTTCCAGGAATGGAACTCCAGCTGTCACCACTTGTTGCCTTTTTTTGGCAATATTTTCAAAAGTTTCCATAGGTATTCGAGCCATATGAGTGCCAGGATGGATGGTGAATGCAATTGTGTATTTTTGTTTTTAATGAAAATCTTTGTTTCAAGACTCATATTTCTAAATATCTTTAGTTAGAAACTATGTGTGTAGTTGTTTTTCTGTATATACTGTATGTATATGTAGTATTCCCAAATTTAACTTTTTAATTTTGCACTTTTAGGCCAATTCCATGATGCTATGAACAGAAGAGTTTCTGCCTGGAATGGTTTAATCAGCTGCCTGGGATGAAAGCATATAATGCTTGGTAGTCCACCTAGAAAACTAAGAATGTGATTACCACAGTACAATTACCTTAATTACTGTAATGTGCCTAAATTTTAAGGCTGCCTTCTCAGTGTAACTCTCTGTGCTTCAGAAGTTTATTTTGTGTACTTTGTACGTAATACACAGAATAAGCACTTTTTTTTCTTAATTGCAGAATAATATATGCTGTGTTTCCCTGACAACACCTGAGAAATCGTAAGAGCAAGGATTTTTGATATCCTATTCCAGAAGGCTTGATAAATGTGCATGTGCCACAATGAACTATATATGGGAGGACAGTGCTTTTTGTATTTATTTTATTTTCCTGTGGCAAAAGAAACTAAACATACAGTTTATACCATATTTGTATTGCTATAATGTATGGTCATTTTCCTGTGTATTTCAAAAGTTCTCTCAAGAAAAACAAATCTGGTAACAGTATTTGATGAACTTACAGTACTTGTATGTTCTGTCTGTAAAATTACTTTGTTCAATGGTAGAGTTGCAAGATTATAACCATACACCACACCTCTGGGATTTTTTGTAATAAAATCTAATTTCTACAATTACAGCTTGATATCTGGATGTACAGACTGGCTACCACTGAAAACGATAGAGCTATGCATGTGTATCCAAGGGCAAAACTTAGTCCATACTAAATAGTCTAGTATGTTAAAAAAAAAAAAACTGGATTAATTTCAATATTAGGTGCTTAAGTGTAATGTGCTAAAATTTAAGGCCTGATTCTGCTTTCACTTACACCTCCATAAGAACTCAGGAATAACTGCATTAAAGTAAGTGAATTTACACCTGTGTAATATTTGTGCAAGCAAGCAAAAACAGGTCCATTGTATGTAACAGTATACACTATGAAATTTTCTCCATTTACAAGGGATGAACATGCACAACTCTAACTCCATCGCTCATGAGTCATAAAAATGATTAACACCTGAAAATATAAAGTATATTGCACCATTCACTATTACATAGTCTGACTCTAGATAATAAAGGTTAACATTTTCTACATACGTATTTCCTTTAAAGACTTGAATTCAACTTTTCTCATATTGTGATTCTGTGCATTCCCTGAATTGTGTGATCCAAAGTCATGATGATAATCTATTTATAAATTTAGATAAATGGCCCTTGGATGCATATACATTGTATATTCCGGGACACTGAAGATCTCGATAGGTTACTACTGTGGTGAACAGTCATCAGAACATAATTAAATTTGATTTTTTTAATTAATGAACCACCTTCTTATTCACTCATATTATCAAATGTAAAAAGAAAATCTTTCATAGGCATATGATGTGTAGTAAAATGTAATGTTAGAAGTTGACACCATAGCAATATTGATAATTCTGAAGTGAATGTTTTAAGTATTTAATTTTTTGTCCCTGTGGGATATTTATAAAATAAACACAATGGAACTCTTGCAGAATAGCCTTAAGAATGTTAATGGTTCAGTAAAGAGAGAGTACCAGAAAGTTTCAGCAGACTTGTTATGAACCTTAAGTATAGTGCATTTGCAATACTGTGCAAGAACACAACTTTCTCTTTTCTATTGGGTGTATGTTTTGTTCTGTAGAAAGATATCCCAGAAGGCTTACCTTTTCTACTACTTGATTGTCGTTGGGATTATATTTATTTAATTTTATTGTTTTGTTTTGTTTTATTTTTGTTACAAAGTGCGCATTGGGTCACAGGGTCCATTTCACAATGGGCTACAGTTTCCAGACAGCTTCAGGTTTTTGTATGAATAATATTTACATTTGAAACAGTTGGTGGGTAAACCCCACATATAAATCAACTGAAAGACCTGTTGAAAAGTTACTTTCAGAATCAAAATAACAGTTCCTGCAGCTTTTCAGTATTGCTTTGGAATAGAGCATGAATTACTCTGTTAAAATACTTTGATGAGGGTGTGAGACATTCCGCATTGCTTTTGTGTGTGATTTTAATATTATACCTTATGTGGTTTGTACCATGCTAAGAAAGTAAAAACTAATATCCCGCAAATGTTAGCAATTCAGTTTGGACTTTTAAAATGTTGGGTGATGTCCTGCTGTCTGTACAATCACACAGAAGTCAGTGGGGTTGCACACTTGTAACTCAGACCAGAATTTAGCCTGTCAAATATTTCTCTGTTTCAGATCTTGTTTTCATAAGCCACTATACGACTAGTCCTATCTCCTCCTCCTGACATTTCACGCAGTCTCTCCAACAACCATCTCCAGAAGTGATCACAAATTCATGATGGGAAAGCTAGAGAAAAGACTGTCTTGTGAACATTAACATCAATACCATATACTTGTGGAGAAAGTCTTCAAAAGAGAAAAGTATTTAAATTTTTCGGAACTAAAAAGGTATTGAGGTACAGTGATGCCCTTTTGTCTTTGTGATCAGTATTGAAAGTATTACCATTGATTAAAAAATAAAAGGCTGTTTCCCTCATTAATCAGCTATGCAAATGTGTGTTATGCTTAATATCCTCCATCTGATCTGTTCAGTTAACTTTGTTTGCAGATAGACTCTTTTTTTTTCCCCCATCCCTGGATTGGGTTGTATATAGCCTATAATGTACATTGAATGAATTTCACATTGTAAAATTTTTATTTTATTCCTTGTATTATATTAAGCAAAAAAACCCTATGTATATGAAAGTGCATAATAAATATATTTGCTTTTCAGCAGCTATCTGTTTTATTTTACAACCTCCTTTCTTGGGACATTTCAGGAAAAGGTTCTTAAAAATTAGGAAAACTTGACTAGCATTTGTTAAGCATCTAATAAAACCTAATGAAAATTAGAATATGATTTAGAAAGGTCGTAAGCATTTGAGGCAAGCATTTTCAAAACTGGCTGCCCGAAGTTAGCTCCTAAGTCCATATTTAGACACCTGTTTGTTTCCTGATATTTCAAAAATGCCGAGTTCTCAGCAGCTTCCACTGAATTCAGATTTAGTATTTCACATTCTTACGAGGCCTTGAAACCAGTAGGAATAAAAAACTTCTCTTTCGAGATGTGTTGCCCATGTCCATTTTTGTTCCGGTGTGTGCATGCCCAGTGCACCAGAGTCAGAGATATTTTTTCCTAAGTGGTGCCCATAAGGGGAAACACATGCATCCTCAGCAGTCTTGTGCTGCTACACAATGCTATGGAGGGTGGAGCCACCTTTGATCACTCTCAGTTCCTTCTTACAGGACAGATCCCAACATAAAGGGGAAGAAGAATGGAATGGATATGTGCAACACATCTCAAACAACAGTTACAGAACAGGTTAGTAACCATTTTTTCTTCAAGTGATGGAACATCCATTTCACTTCAAGTCACCCCTGAGCAGTTAAGTCTGGAGACGTGTTTTGGAATCTATCTGAACAATGACTATAGATCCAAATTTGGCAAAGTCCTTTGAACATCCAAGGCATGGAGCCTTTCTTCAACCCCATGACAGCAGGGTTAGGAAAGAATGTCAGTAAGTATATGGCTTGATTGAGGTGGAATTGTGAAACTACTTTAGTCAGGAATTTCAAATGCAGACATAAATATACCTTATCCTTATTAAAGCAAAAAAAAAAGTGTAAAGAGGGTCATCTACCAACACTCGTAACTCCATTACCCTTCTTACAGATAAAATTGGTACCAAAAATGCTACTTTCATAGAGAGATGCAGTAAGGAGCAAGTAGCCATGGGTTTAAAGGGTGGACTTGTTAACTCTGCCAGCATCAGATTCAGGTTCCAGGGAGGAATGGGATTCTTGACATGGAGATATAACCTGTCTAGACCTGTTAAGAATCTGATAGACATAGGGTTGGAAAATACTGAGTGGTTCACAACTGATGATTGGAAAGTGGAGGTCGCTGCCAGATGAACTCTGATGGAACTAACCAATAGACCCTGCTGTTTCAGGTTAAACATATCCAAAACATGTTGGATAGAGGCCAGGACTGGTGAAACACCTCTCTGCTTTCACCTTATGAAGAATAGTGTTCACTTCATCAGGTAAGCATACTTAGTACATGGCTACCTGCTGTTCAGAAATGTTTTGCACATTTGGAGAACACTCTGTCTCTTGAGGAATTAACCATGGAGCAGACAGGCCATGAGATGGAATAGACGGATTGGGGTGTAACATCTGTGGCCCTGGGAGATCTTCTTGTGATCTTGAAGTAGTGTCATAGGAGCCCTAGACAGAGAGGCTCAGCAGACTGGATAACCAATGGTAGCGAGGCCAAACTGGTGCTAGCGTGATCCTGCTTGAGTTTGGATAACATCTTGGGTAGGATAAGAATAGAAGGGTAGGCATTCAGAAACTTGTCTCTCCAAGAGAGAGTAGGAAAGCATCCATCAGGGAGCCCAGAACGAGAACTGAAGTTTTATCCCGCCAATAAGATTTATTAGTTAAAGATACAAAATTTTAGCCCAGCTATGGAATAAATCTTCCTACCAAAACAGTCTAGTCTCTTTGCCTCTTTGTTCTTTGGGATAGGAGGTCATTCCTGTTGTGCTTTTTCATTCATGGTGAGACATCTAAGGAACCACTCTGAGGGGCACATCTGCCACTCTGCTTAGAGAAAAATCTCTGATGCATTGGGCATGCACACGCCTGAAGTAGAATGAACATGTGCAATCACTCAAAGAAGAACTTCATTGTACTTTCTTTCAAGATGACCTGTATACCATTACATCTGTCAGGAAGACTAGCAAACTAAACACCCCAATTACTATAATTCCCTTATATCTGAAAGAAGGGTTTTGGTTTTTTTTTTGGAAAATATATTTTTTCATATATCCTTTTCCCCAAGAGTGTTCCAGTTATTTCATATCTCTGTGCCAATGAAGTGATTGCATAGACATGATTTTACCCAAATCAGAATTCCCAGGAACAAAATCTGCATTTGTTGAGCACAAAAAGGGCTATGAATGTTTACTAGGGTAAGCTAAAATCTTTTGAAGAACAGTGTGTGGCTTGTTTAAAGGCCTAGCAAAGGGATCAAAACTTCAGAGTACTATGTCTAGGTGTATTTGTGATTTTCTTTGTTCTTTTTGTTATGTAAAAGCACATTTTCTCTTGAGGCCAAGTCATGTTGTTACATGAGCATATTTTTGCATCCCACTCGAACACAGGCTTTCTTCTTCCAGTGAGGCCACCAAAAGAGGAGTTCTTCAGGCTGTTGCTTAATGTAGGCCTGCCCTAGGGTAGTCCTTGCTACATCAACTCTTTGTACATTTACAATGGAAGAAGAGATGGTCAACAAGAAGGAATTTCCAATAATTGTCATAACCTCTTCTTCCACTCTAATTGTATTCTGCTCCCTTCTTTAGAATCAAAATTATGTATATTAGTGTGGGAAATTTCTGAGTGTCAAGGAAGAACTCTGCTATTTATCTGCCTTCTGTCATTGACAGTTTAGGTTTGCCTCCTTGTTTCCTGGTAAGCACTCATTCCAGTCCTTGTACTTATGACTTTGTTGGTTTGTAGGATTAGGAGGAAAAAAAGGGCAAACATAATTACTGTAAGTAGTTTTTCATTCACCTTTTGTATACTATTTCTGTGGTTTTCCTTCTCTAATCATTGAGCCACTTTTGATATGCTCTTTATGCCAAGGAATAACAGCATATGCATTGGATTAGTTCACTATTTTTCACAAAGACAGCAAAGTATTTCCTGTGAATTAATCTCTAAAGACTTTGATGTTCCACAGTCACAATTTTTTCCCAATAATCATAATAATATTTAAACAAAAGTATTGAACACCTGTTTTTAATCTTTGATCCTGAGGAATATGTAAAGTCATATTAAATTAATGCTTCAAATCTTCTATACAATCTTTAGGACAGTTTTGCTTGTGGGTTGTGTGTATTTTCCAAAAGGCATTTGGGACTAGTTGGCAGAGTAAACTAATGCAAAGCTTTTCAACTGAAGGCCCTGTGAGAGAATCATAGAAGATTAGAGTTGGAAGAAACCTCAGGAGGTCATCTAGTTCAACCCCCTGCTCAAAGCAGGACCAACCCCAACTTAAATCATCCCAGCCAGGGCTTTGTCAAGCCTGACCTTAAAAATATCTAAGGAAGGAGATTCCACCACTTCCCTAGGTAACGCATTCCAGTGTTTCACCACCCTTCTAGTGAAAAAGTTTTTCCTAACATCCAACCTAAACCTCCCCCACTGCAACTTGAGACCATTACTCCTTGTTCTGTCATCAGCTACCACTGAGAACAGTCTCGATCCATCCTCTTTGGAACCCCCTTTCAAGTAGTTGAAAGCAGCTATCAAATCCCCCCTCACTCTTCTCTTCTGCAGACTAAATAAGCCCAGTTCCTTCAGCCTCTCCTCATGTGCCCCAGCCCCCTAATAATTTTGTTGCCCTCTGCTGGATTTTCTCCAATTTGTCCACATTCTTTCTGTAGTAGGGGCCCCAAAACTGGATGCAATACTCCAGATGTGGCCTCACCAGTGCCAAATAGACAGCAGTAAGAAGTTGGCATTGATCTAAACTGTAACTTTTCTACACTGGAGAGAGTTCCAGTGTCAGAAATAGAGTAGACTGAAAAATCCTACGATTGTGCCAATAGTTTTATTAAAGGATTCTCAGAAATTCTGTGCAGATCATATCAACCAATTGACCGTTATCATGAAGATTTCATTTATTTAGGTCCCAGAAAGACCTTTCCCTTTTATTATTGTAGGTTTACAATAGACAAGTTAAATCTTGAAATTGAGGTACATTTTATGCTACAGAAATTAAACTTTAAAAAATTCTTGCACTATACTTTTTTGTCTTCTGTACTTCTATTAAGCTTTGTGTCCTGCAATTGGAGCTCTGCAAGTTAAAAGGGCGCAGAGTGCTTCTGAAGTTACTTCCTGTCTGTGCTATTGGTTGTTCCTTCCCTCCCTTCTCTACTAGAGATGTGGGGGAAACCATTTTGCTGATTTTCTGCACATTGTGTGTCTGCGCTCTCCTGAGGGCTGCTCTAAACTCCTCCAGCTGCTCCAACCATGCCACTACAATGTGCCTCCACAATGTGCTCCAGTCGTGCTATACTCCTCGTCTCCACCTGCAATGCCCCCTAGCCTGGTGTAGGAGCTGGCTATGCCATCTCTATGCCTGAATGGGACTCCTCAGCTGGGGAGATGGGCCTATGTTCTGCTTCTTTTGTGCTGCCAAAGCAGGACACTTTCTTTCAAAACAAAGGTTTCAGAGTAACAGCCGTGTTAGTCTGTATTCGCAAAAAGAAAAGGAGTAGTTGTGGCACCTTAGCGACTAACCAATTTATTTGAGCATAAGCTTTCGTGAGCTACAGCTCACTTCATCAGATGCATACACATCCGATGAAGTGAGCTGTAGCTCACGAAAGCTTATGCTCAAATAAATTGGTTAGTCTCTAAGGTGCCACAAGTACTCCTTTTCTTTTTTCAAAACAAAGCAACAGTAGTATGAAATTGTTCAAACTTTGGCACAATCTTATCTTCTGAAATGTCATGGGCTCCCTTGCCAAAAATACAGTGGTGACACACTGTTGTATAACTTATTTTCTACAGTCTCAATAAATACATCCCTAAGATGTCTACATAAACAAACGCTTGGATGAAAAAGGGCAGTCTCAAACTAAAAATGAGAAAGACTTTAGGGTATTCCTAAACTGCCATCAGGGAGATGTGATTGCAGTTGATGTAGGCATACCCAAGCTATCTTTAATCAAAACGAGCTCGAGTAGCAATACAGTGTAGCAGTAGCAGCACGGTTCAGCCTCTCCAGTGTGTACCCAGGGTCCTTGTACTTAGGAGGCTAGCCTGTGCTGCTGCTTATGCTGCCGTGGCTAGACTGCTGTTGTTATGTGAGCTAGCTTTGATCTCTTCAGATCAAAGCTAGCTCTGGTATGTCTACAGGAGCTGCAGCCACCTTTAGACATAACCTAAAGTGATGCTGGTTAGAGGGGGGAAATATTTTGAAGAACTAGCCAGGACGTTGACCTCCTTTCGACTACAGCACCAGGGGGAGGAAGGAATACCTCAGTAAACTCACCTTCAGAAAGTACTGTAACTGCTTTTTGTGTCAAGAGTGTCATGGCTAATACATCAGAGTTTCATTTATTATCACAAACTGGAGACTGTCCCTCAAAGCAGCACACTTATGAAGAAGTGCTATGCTATGTCTGAGGAAATTACTGGCAAAGGTATGTTATTACATGATTGTCCATTATGGAGATTCCTCTGCTGCAGCTACAACTGGCCTCTGTTAGACAGGAAACTAGTCTAGATGGACCATTAGTTAGATCTGACATACTACTCCTTTATTTGCAAATGGTGTCAATTCATAGATTTTTTTTTTTAAGGCAAGAAGTCTGACTTCTCACATAACACAGGCCATAGAACTTCAGCCAATAATTTGTGCTTACTTTAAACCTACAGATAAATTCTGGCTGGATTATGTAAAGGTTTAGGGAATAGGACTTTCAAGTTCCTATGGATGATCACAGTAAGGCAAAATAAGACTGTTACCCTGATATATTACCATTTTTAAAGGAAACTGCTATTCCAAGCATTTGTCATAGCTTCATTGAAACCTTTCTAGTTTGAATTGCTATTTGATTTAAAAATTAAAATTGTATTTCTAATTGCACATTGACTGGCATAACTAGCAAAGCATAAGTACTTTCAGTTGAAGAGTACCACTAATGTATTCAGAAATATAATCATTCTGCATGCAAGACATGAATTTATTCCAAAGGCAAGCACATAAAGCATAGGGAGGACTTACATTCCTTACAAGTTTCAGGACTTAAAAGTTCCTGAAGATGACATATATCATTCATTTTCTACGTCAGAACCCTTCACAGAAAGTGAAAGTCTTTCTCTGACTACTCAAAAAGTAGTGACTACTTGTGGCACCTTAGAGACTAACCAATTTATTTGAGCATAAGCTTTCGTGAGCTATAACTCACTTCATCTGACTACTATGTCTAATGGCAGCAACCACATATGTCACACCCTCTGAGAGACTAAAGATGAGGCCTCTTCAACACGTGGTAGCAAGAAATTTTCAAACTCGCAGTTTATGGCATGAACCTGGTAATAATTCCAAACAAGATTATGAAAACTCTTTTGTGGTAGAAGGATCAGTCACATGGTGAGGGGAATTCGAATCAGTCCATCCTCTCCTTCCATGATGATTACCACAGATGCCTCAAAAACAGTCTGGAGTGCACATCTCAACAATCTGGTAACATGACGTCTCTGGAACCAGCAAGAGTGTAATCTGTATATCAGTGTTCTTGTGTTAAGGGCAATATAATTATCACTAAAATCTTTCCTACCTCAGTCAAGGGGCAGCTGAGTCAGGTGACCAAAAGCAATATGACAGCAATGTATTATGTAAACAAGAAAGGAGGAGCATGCTCTTCCCAGCTTTGCAATGAGGCAAGGAGACTTTGCAAGTGGTGTATTATTCACAAGGTTGATGTGATAATTCATGTACCAGGAGCCCTTAATCAGCAGACCAATTCCTCCCACATGAATGGCCCTTGAACATGTAATCAGGGAAATTTTTGCTCTGAAGCACACTCCAAATATTGATCTTTTTGCTACAAGGTTCAGTGCAAAATGCCCTCTTTTTTTGTTCAACAGGTTCAGCCCCGTACCTTCTCTCAGATGCTTTCCTCCTCAATGAGAATATGAATCTGATGTACACCTTCTCATCTTTTCCGTTAATATTGAAGGTCATAAGGAATTTCAGCCAGGATAATTCTGCTCACTTTTGCTTGGCTGAGTTACACGGACTTGCTCCTTCTTTCAAAGAGAAACTTCAAAGTACTGCCTCTGTCATCAGACCTACTCTGACAGCAGCATCGGAGGGTGTATGAGCCAGATCCATCTTTGCTACATCTAGCAGCAATAGATCCTTGACAGAATTAGAGAAATCTTTCTCTGAAGATGTACAACATGTATTACTAAATGTGAAAAGACTGACTACTAGAAAATGTTATGAGTTGAAATGGAAAAGATTTTTCTATGGGATGCTAATAAGGATATTGATCTTGTGCCAGCTCCTATACAATTCATTTTAGAGTACTTGTTGCTTCTGAAGGACCAAGATTTTTATATTAAGTCACTCAGGTACATTTAGCCACAATTGCACCTGTTGATGGTAAATCAGTATTCTCTCATCTGATTGTTAAGAGATTTATGAAAGGTTTACTAAATCTGTATTCTCCAAAAACAAAGCCTGTTCCAACCTTGAAATTAAACTTAGTGCTTTCACAAATTATATCACCTCCATTTCATAGATACGAAGGTCAGAAGGGACCATTATGATCATCTAGTCCAACCTCCTGCACAATGCAGGCCACAGAATCTCACCCACCCACTCCTGCAAAAAACCTCTAACCTATGTCTGAGCTATTAAATCGTGGTTTAAAGACTTCAAGGAGCAGAGAATCCTCCAGCAAGTGACCCATGCCCCATGTTATAGAGGAAGGCGAAAAACCTCCAGGGCCTCTTCCAATCTGCCCTGGAGGAAAATTCCTTCCCGACCCCAAATATGGCGATCAGCTAAACCCTGAGCATATGGGCAAGATTCACCAGCCAGATACCCAGGAAAGAATTTTCTGTAGTAACTCAGATCCCACCCCATCTAACATCCCATCACAGGCCACTGGGCCTATTTACCATGAATATTTAAAGATCAATTAATTACCAAAAGCATGTTATCCCATCATACCATCTCCCTCATAAACTTATCAAGTTTAATCTTAAAGCCAGATAGGTCTTTTGCTCCCTTTGCTTCCCTTAGAAGGCTATTTCAAAACTTCACTCCTCTGATGGTTAGAAACCTTCATCTAATTTCAAGTCTAAACTTCCCAATGACCAGTTTATATCCATTTGTTCTTGTGTCCACCTTGGTATTGAGCTTAAATAATTCCTCTCCCTCTCCGGTATTTATCCGTCTGATATATTTATAGAGAGCAATCATATCTCCCCTCAACCTTCTTTTAGTTAGGCTAAACAAGCCAAGCTGATTTCATAAGATAGGTTTTCCATTCCTCAGATCATCATAGTAGCCCTTCTCTGTACCTGTTCCAGTTTGAATTCTTCCTTCTTAAACATGGGAGACCAGAACTGCACACAATGTTCCAGATGAGGTCTCATCAGTGCCTTGTATAACGGTACTAACACCTCCTTATCTCTACTGGAAATACCTCACCTGATGCATCCCAAGACCGCATTACCTTTCTACACGGCCATATCACATTGGCGGCTCATAGTCATCCTGTGGTCAACCAGTACTCCAAGGTCCTTCTCCTCCTCCGTTACTTCTAATTGATGCATCCCCAGCTTATAACTAAAATTCTTGTTGTTAATCCTGAAATGCATAACCTTACACTTCTCATGATTAAATTTCATCCTATTACTATTACTCCAGTTTACAAGGTCATCCAAATCTTTCTGTATGATTTCCCAGTCTCTCTCTAAATTGGCAATACCTCCCAGCTTTGTATCATCCGCAAACTTTATTAGCACACTCCCACTTTTTGTGCCAAGGTCAGTAATAAAAAGATTAAATAAGATTGGTCCCAAAACTGATCCCTGAGGAACTCCACTGGTAAACTCCCTCCAGCCTGACAGTTCACCTTTCAGTAGGACCCGCTGTAGTCTGCCTGTTAACAAATTCCTAATGCACCTTTCAATTTTCATATTGATCCCCATCTTTTACAATTTAACTAATAATTCCCCATGTGGCACGGTATCAAACGCCTTACTGAGATCTAGGTAAATTAGATCCACTGTGTTTCCTTTGTCTAAAAAATCTGTTACCTTCTCAAAGAAGGAGATCATGTTGCTTTCGCACGATCTACCTTTTGTAAAACCATGTTGTATTTTGTCCCATTTACCATTGACCTCAATGTCCTTAACTACTTTCTCTTTCAAAAACTTTTCCAAGACCTTGCATACTACAGATGTCAAACTAACAGGCTTGTAGTTACCCGGATCACTTTTTTTTCCTTTCTTAAAAATAGGAACTATGTTAGCAATTCTCCAATCATACTGTACAACCCCTGAGTTTACAGATTCATTAAAAATTCTTGCTAATGGGCTTGCAATTTCCTGTGGCAATTCCGTTAATATTCTTAGATGAAGATTATCTGGGCCCCCCGATTTAGTCCCATTAAGCTGTTCGAGTTTCGCTTCTACCTCAGATATGGTAATATCTACCTCCATATCCTCATTCCCATTTGTCATGCTACCATTATCCCTAAGATCCTCATTAGCCTTATTAAAGACTGAGGCACAGTATTTGTTTAGATATTGAGCCATGCCTAGATTATCCTTGACCTCCACTCCAACCTCAGTGTTTAGCGGTCCCACTTCTTCTTTCTTTGTTTTCTTCTTATTTATATGGCTATAGAAGCTTTTACTATTGGTTTTAATTCCCTGTGCAAGGTCCAACTCTACTTGACTTTTAGCCTTTCTCACTTTATCCCCACATGTTCTGACCTCAATAAGGTAGCTTTCCTTGCTGATCCCTCTCATCTTCCACTCCCTGTATGCTTTCTGCTTTTTCTTAATCACCTCTCTGAGATGCTTGCTCATCCAGCTTGGTCTGCAACTCCTGCCTATGAATTTTTCCCCCTTTCTTGGGATGCAGGCTTCCAATAGCTTCTGCAGCTTTGATTTGAAGTAATCCCAGGCCTCATCTGCCTTTAGATCCTTAAGTTCTTCAATACAATCCACTACCCTAACTAATTTCCTTAATTTTTGAAAGTCAGCTCTTTTGAAATCAAAAACCCTAGTTGCAGATTTATTTTTGTTAATCCTTCCTTTCAGTTTGAACTGAATTAGCTCATGATCACTTGAACCAAGGTTGTCCCCTTCAACCATTTCCTCTATGAGGTCCTCACTACTCACCAAAACCAAATCTAAAATGGCATCCCCTCTAGTCGGTTCAGCAACTACTTGGTGAAGGAATCCATCAGCTATCGCATCTAGGAAAATCTGAGCCCTATTATTATTACTAGCACTCGTCCTCCAGTCTATATCTAGGAAGTTAAAGTCCCCCATGATCACACAATTCCCATTAGTATTTACTTCATTAAAAACATTAAAGAGGGCTCTATCCATATCCAGATTGGATCCCGGCGATCTATAGCACACCCCAAGTACTATCCCAGGGGAGGCTCTAGTAGTTTTCTTCCCCAGTGTAATTTTTGCCCAGACGGACTCTGTCTTATCCATTCCATCGCTTCTTATTTCTTTACAGTCTACCTCATCATTCATATACAATGCTACTCCACCATCTTTATCTTTATTTCTGTCTTTCCTAAACAGCACATACCCCTCAATACCTGTAGTCCAGTCATGACTACTATTCCACCATGTTTCTGTTATCCCTATAATATCTGGTTTCACTTCCTGCACCAGAAGCTCTAGTTTCTCCATTTTGTTACCTAGGCTCCTCGCATTGGTGTACAAACATCTTAATTTTTGCTGTTTGGCCTCGCTCACATTCTGTACCCTATTAGGCACAGTCATTCTACAGCCAGTATAACCTATTAGACTGGAATCCACACTACCCTTCCTCCTTACATACATTCTCCTACCCATGGCTGTATACTTTCTTACTTCGTTTTCTTCCCACTCAATGCTAAAATCCAGCGTGGAGATTACCTGGACATCTCCCAACCATCTCCCTCAAATTCCTAGTTTAAAGCTCTCTTAATCAGTTGTGCCAGCCTCCATCCTAGAAGTCTATTTCCTTCCCTACTCATCCCGAGAAAACTGTCCTCTGTCCATGAATGATTCCCAGTGGCCATACATCCCAAAGCCCTCCTTATAGCACCACTGCCTAAGCCATCTGTTGATAGTCATAATCTTGTCACACCTTTGTTGCCCTTCTCTAGGAACAGACAGAATCTCACTAAAGATCACCTGAGCCTCGATTTCCTTAAGTGTCTTCCCCAGCCTAGCATAGTCTCCCTTGATACATTCCAGCGAGAATCTAGCTGTATCATTTGTTCCCACATAAAGGATAATTAGGGGATTCTTTCCTGCAATTAGGGGATTCTTTCATTTGAGCCATTATCTAATTGTTCTGTTTCACCTTTCAATTAAGACTGCTTTTATCATAGCAATAACATAAGCGAGGGGGGCTAGTGAACTTCATGTGTGGATGGCTGATTTCCACCCCCTCCCCCCATTTACAGTTCTTCGTAAAGACCAAGTAGTTCTTCATCCTCACCCAAATTTTATATTAAAAGTAATTTCAGACTTTTATGTTAACCAATCCATTACTTTAACAGTGTTCTTTCTCAAATGGCATTCAAATAAGAATGAAGCAAAATTACATTGTTTGGACTTTCAAATTGAGTGTTATCATTCAATTTAGTTAGGACTAAGGATTTTAGATTATCACTCAGATTGTTTGTCTCATGTGTGGATAACTGTAAAGGGAATCCCATTTCAGTGCAAAAGTTATTTAGGTGGATCAAACTATGTATAATAGAAGCTTATGAAAATCCCTCGCATTCCCCTCTGCTAGGTTGAGAGCACACTCCACGAGAGTAGTGGCCACAAGTATGTCTAAAACAGGTTCCATTCAGTGAGATTTTTAAAGTGGCCACATGGAATTCATGTTTTACTAAACATTATGTGTTAAATACTACAGCTAAGTCTGATGCTACGTTTGGCACATTGGCTCTTCAGTCTTTGTTCAGTTTGGATGGAGGGTAAGGAGTCCTATCTCCTTATATATTACTGACTAAACTACCCCAAGATTGGGAATATGCTGAGGACACTCGAAGAAATGAAGGTTACTTACCTCTAACCAAGGTTTTTTGAAATGGACTTGGCATATTCATATTTCCTGCCCTCCTTTCCCTCGTCTACAAAGTCCTATGTACTCATGGTTCTGCATTAGCGATGGAAGGAACTGACGCAGCAACTGCTGCTGCACCCTCTTTTATAGCTATACCCTCAAAATGTGCTTGGACACAGAGGGCAAGGGCAGAGAGGGGTGCTTGAGTGATTGATCAGGCACTGCTAGTAGAAGACTGTGCTGTTCAACAACGGCACCTGTTGCCACATATTCTGAATGTGCGGAGTCCAACTTGAAGAACATTGGTTACAAGTAAGTAACCTTCATTATACATAATAGGGCCTGATTCTCAGTTACATAAAGACCTCTTTAAATCCATTTTAATGCACCAAGTTTTATAATGTAACTGAGAA